CATATCTTAAACACACCTGTAATGAAAATTATGTCTATAGAGCTGGGCAGCATATTGGTATAACACTGCACTGTATCATGATTGGGAGTATGGAATATAAATTACTAAAGGTCTTTTTTGTCTCAGGGCTGCATTATAATAAAGAGAAATTTATTTGGCAATTGTAGGTAAGTGATGTTGACAAAATACTGATTTTGTTATCAAATCCACACAGGATATTTTTATTTCTCAAACTAGTGTTTTCCGAAAGCTGTAATAGTCCCCTCCCAAATATTACATGTTACATTAAAGATTCAATTATATATTTTATATATATTTTAAAAAAAATCATTATATTTGATTTTGTCAATATGGCAGGGTCCTATTTGACAGGTTTTGTTAAGGAAGCTTTGTTACAGCCAGCACAGCTTGCGCTTGCTCATGCAAATATTGGAGGTGGTATATCTCACGATAAAGTATATCTGAGTATTCCTAAAGGTGGATCAAGTTGACTAATTTTGTGGTGGGTCACAGAGCTGAGGGCATGTCCACAGAGCTTAGAGCAGCTGTGAATAAAGCACTGGAATCCCCTGGTCTCTGTTGTGGTGTTGGCATCCTGCATCAGTGAGCGTAAATTAGCTCTTGCTATCATACGACTCACAACACCCTGACTGGACCTGACCTCCCACAGCCTTCAAACTCACACATTACACCTCCACACCTCTCTGTTAAACCTCACACTGCACAATACCTAACATACAATACATACACATAAAACACTCTCTCTGCCTCCAACAGTGACAGAGACGTACCACATCCGCGTCATGTTCCATTTCCATACTCCATCGGTAGAAAACATAAAAACGTCAGTAAGAATTACACCTGGCGGAAGATGTTTTATTTTTTATTGCCCTCTATTCTACCTTAATTATGATGCTTGTGTAGGTTTGGGAGACATACAGCTGGGTGCTACAGTTGCCTTGTGTTTGTGTTTTACATACCTGAGCAGAGTTGAACTTTTCTTTGGCCGTAAAGACAAACGGAGAGGCAGTGAGAAAAAACAAAAGGTGTTCTATTCTTAGCTCTGCTCATGTTAATAACTCGTCTGAGGGAGGTTAACTTGTCCATTCTTCTCCTGTTATTTATGGGCAGTAGGATGTATAACTTGTAGCACGAGGGATTATTTACCTCCCCGTTCGAGGACACCCCTCCGGGCAGAGTCAGCCTTTAAATACCCTATTTGTGTGCACGGAAGCTTGTGTTATCAGGACCGTCTTCATCATCAGGCCGGCTGACTTGCGACGAACAGCTCCTGCATGGCCATTAAAATACACAAGCTGGATGTCCAATGATCAGCTCCAGGGCCATATCACCTGGCATGCAGGCCCTGGGTCACTACCCCCTTCTAAAACTCCACACATACAAACACATCACACAACCATTATCTGACCCTGTAAATAAACTCCTATAGGCAGCTGCCTGTAGCAGAGACTGACCTCGAAAGAACAGGCCATTTGTCACTAATACACACATTGTCTTTCTTTTGCTGTGTACACAGTTCCTCTGTCTCAAACACGGAGACTTTTATTCCTCTATACATCTCACCCCGAACACTCTCACTGCTTTTTGTCTTAAAAGAAGTTGAGCTGGTTCCATAACTGCATGTCAGGGAGCAGAGAAACGACTGACTAAAGCTAATGTTTGGCAGTGCTTTAGTGGCCCTACCTTGTGACCTGATGTATGGATGCTGAAAACAAAGAGGTCTTTGTGGGGAGACCTCAGAGACATAGAGTTCACCCTCAGGTAGAGGCTTACGCTGTCTAAATCATTGCTGGGGCATTTGTTTAAAATGGGCCTGTGTGGTATGTAAAATGAAGTGAGGGTGTTTTAAAGTCGAGCGTAAATTCATCTTGATTTTATTGATAATTCATCATGTCGTGAAATGTGTTTTGGCAGAAGTGCTGGGCCCCCAGTTTTAGTAAAGCTTTTTCTCACCAAACGTGGCAGATCAAATTAACCTTGATCTGTGTATTCGGTAGAAATGTTCTTTTAGTTTTTTTTTTTTTTCTTGGGAGTGAGGGGCTGTCTGACCTCCAGCAACCTTAGACTTCTCAAAAAATGAAAAAGGGGAGAAATAAAGTCAAGAAAGCAAATTTCCACATTCTCTTCAGGTTACAACGTGTGCTTCAGCTTTAGCAGTTAATTTTTTTTTTTTCTTTTACTAGCGCTCTCATCTCATTTAAGATGCAGAGATTTCATTCTGCTCTTAGCTCTGTGTGAGTCTCGCCTCGCTGTGTGTGTGCAGGCAGACACTAATAACACTCCCTCTTCTCCATTCAAGGGTTTTTGTTCCTGAGTGCCTTGCTCTCATTAAGCTGCGGTAGTAAGCTGCTTGGCACCTGCTTTAAATGCGACCACCACCCGCTCATTAACACTAACGAAAGCATGGCTGGCAGCCGCAATCCACGCCCAGGCTCGTCAAGCGGCCCCCTTTGCTAAAATTAGCTACATTTCACAAACAATTTCACCAACTCGTTACATAGTTAGGTGTTTATTGGAAGATGGCTGACTCTGACTTAGAGGTGGTGTGTGTAATAAGCACACTCCAGGTTAAGATGAGCCAGCCCACATAATAAACCACCAATTTGCCTACAAATTCAAACCAAACTTCCATTCACTTCCTCAGGCATTACACATAAACTTCAGAGAGACTGAATAGTAGTACATAAGGTTTTATACTGTGTACTTTATATTTGTAATAGCTTTTTACAGTGTCTGGATGCCGCCTGGAACTTTTTCTTAAGAATCTCATCCCATAGCCATCAGGCCCAGTCTTGGCCCCTGACCGTTCCCTTCCCCCTCTGTGTTATTGTTTCTATTCCCAGCCTCAGATTTTTACCTCAAGGTCCCTGTAGTATTGACTTGTATTAATTCTGAGTAGGATTCAAAGTCCATTTATTTTCTTTAGGATATGGAAAGGCCTTGGTGACATGGCTCCCCTGTGTTTATAATTTTGCGTGTTTCAATTTGTGCTCGGCCTCCCCTGACAGACCCGGAACATGATGTATCGTACACCACTGCCTTATCTATTGAAGGCTGCCTCTTTTCTCTTTTCTCCCCTTCTCTGCCTCACCTCCCCATCCAGAGCACAGGAAAGCCATACAGCACGGCAGCCGAATAAAAAGAAGAGCATAACCCCTTTTCTAAAGTCATCTAATGTAAATGTTTAGGTTTTGTTTCCATAACATTTCCATATTAAGAGTTGGCGGCCATGTGCAGCAGTGGACCATGGAAACGATGAGAGTTTGGGAGCTTGAGCTTTGTGCAGTGCTGAGAGGCTGAGCTATGAGTGTGACATTGTGGTGAACTTGCAGTGTGCATCTGTGGGCTTTCTCCAGGGCTGTTAGCTTTGGCCTGTTTGTTCATAGATACAGCACCGTAAATCACACATTGTAAAATGCAGAATGCGGGGATGGGGTTGCAGAAGCATGTACTGCTGCAAGGGCCTCTTGGAGGGAGGGGTGTGTGCATGTAGAGTCACATATTTTTTCGTGCATGTGTCTGTCTCCATACAAGTACTATATGTAGAACATGCACTGCCTCAAGGCCCGGTCAACACGGTACAGTACATACATACATACATATGGCTGCCGATGTCATGACAGTTGATTCTTGCACTCGCATTTATAATTTATGTGGTTAAAATACCTTGTCCAGGATGTAAGGTTAACCATCTAGGTATTTATAATAATCTCATAAATTATACCCACGCAAAAGACTAAAGAGTCCCATAATTATTATTAAAACAACACCATAGGGTGTTTGAGTCAGTATTTTAATATGAAATGATTGATCACAGGTTCAAGGTTTTATGCACTTTACCTTGGAGCTGAACTGCTGCTGCTCTCTGTGGCCCTTTGGCTAGCTTCCTGTCTAGGTCTCCAGAGACCCAGCAACATTGTTAACTGTCTGAGGATAGAGTGTCTGGGACCGAAAGCACTGTCAGCCCCCTGAATCTGGTCTTGCTTGTCTCTCCATTCAGAGTTCAACTGTGACATGTCTTTATGCATGGCAGCTAATGTTCAAAGAATAGGTATGATCTATATGAGGCAGAGAGGGGCCACCGGTGGCTCTTTGGGGCATAATAAATAGCTTGAAAGATGATTCATTGCCTTTGTGAGGAGGAGTAGTGAAGTAACGTTGCACATTCCCAGTAAAGAACTCCTCCATTTTAATTGTTTCTGCACCTTTCAGCAGACCCTCAGGTGTACAGTAGCTACAGTGTTTATAAGACACGATAGCAGCAAAATGATGAGAGGGAGAGACCAAAAGATAGAAGAAAGGAAAAAAAATAAAAACACCTTACATTTATATAGTTTGAACTTGACTTCTCAGTTGCTTGGCAAGTCATTATTTATAGCTCTTAGGAACAGCAATGCTTGCCAACTGAGGCAAAGTTGCTTTGGCTTTCAAAGTGAATGTGAATGAAACAGCTGGACACTGTTGGACTGGCTAACATTAACCACCAGATGCGGTGTGTTTAAGTCTCAGACTTTGTGTTGAACTCTGTGTGCTCTGCTCTGTGCCAAGGGCTTCCGACGACAGGATCCGGAGGCCTTGGTGCAGAGCTTTGTTATTTCACAGATTATTGTTATTTCACTGCCATTGTAATGTGATCGAGTGTGTATCACCCTGTCAGAAAGATCTTAATCTCCCTGGCGGCTTTTTTTTGTCTGATTCAGTACAAGTTTCCTGGATGGTGATCAAAGGAAAATACCTAAGTGACCCTGTCACTCTTAGATCAATCTCACTGGTGTTCCATCTTTCTATCTCTTCACTAACCTGTTCCTGTTTTTTTTGTTATGCTTTCCAAATCCAAAGTCAACAGCCGTAAGCATTTTGCAGATCTGAATTTGAAAGCACCTGCATAACTCATTGATAGCTACCTCAGAACTCTCTGATATGACAGCGGTGATGTACTAAGAAAATACCGGCTTTGTTTCTTTTGCTCTGCACCGCAGGTTCGGTCCAGGCCTTGTGATCTACTGGTACGGTTTCATAGGAGAGCTGGACTGCCAGAGAGACAGAGGTATCCTGCTCAAAGACTGCTTCCCTGCAGACATTGTCACCCTGTGCCATGCCGCCCAGCAGGACCAACTGCCACAAGAGCCACAATAAGGACAAAGAGTGAGAAGAGATGAGAAGTGGAGCAAGAAAACAAATAATTAAAGATAGGAGGATGAATGGAAGGAAAGAAAGAGGAAGGCAAGGAGGCGGAAAGGGTAGGAACACTGAACTATACAGGGGTGGATACCAAGATCCGGAAGCAATTTGGTTTTCCTGCAGTGTGAGACTACTGGCAAAAAATCTGCCCTGAACTCCACCTGACCCACTGTCTCTGTCTGTCTCTCCCTTTCTTCCTCTCTTTCAATGCCCCAAAGCCACCACATGTAAATACACACCAGCACTCTGTATATCTGACAGCACAGGGTCAGATTCATACCTGCATATGAAAACACACTCTTGGAGGCTTTCCTGGTTGTGGTCAGCTCGTGGCCCCTGGATGGCCTCTTGCAATGGACAGCCAGGGTGAGAGCCGGCGACCAAAGCAGGACATAAGGCCCTTCCTTATCACACCCAAAGCCCTGGCCTTTGTCACTCTTTCCTCCTCAGTTACACAGGCAGATAAGCGAGGTGCGGTCCGGGTAGACGCCTGTCTCTCACCTGCGTCACTCAGTGCCCTCTCACTGCCTCTCCAGGGGGGTGAACAGGATCATTCCTGATTAAAGCTGGCCTCACTCTGACCCTTTTCACTTCACATTAGAAAATTTGTCGAGGATCGAAGCAAGGGCTCACACCACAACTAAATTTCATCACATGTTTATTATCAACACATTGCATCCACTTATTTTATGTGAATTATCCTACATAACTATAATTAAGTAGCTGTAAATTAAATCTTCGCATTTGTAACACAGCTCCCGCAAACCTCATGTGCCAACAGTTCTCCTCGGCGTGTTTGCATGGTGTTGAATGTGGGAAACATTTCAGATATTTTAGATCATACTTTACAGTCTGTGCTGCAGTTAAGGATTTGCTTAATCGTCAGCCAACTAAACATTACAAAAAATGGCCAAAGAAAAGAATCACATATGAGAAGCTTCACAAATCAAAATGATTAATTGGCTTTCAAAATTCTTGGCGATTAATTTTGTGTCTATCAATGGATCGATTAAGTGACTAATTGTGATCATAGTTCACGTAGTTATTTATAAACCTAGTCTGTAATGAACAGCTGTGTTACCTAATGTACACAGGGATTAAGGCATCTGTTGAGCCAAAGAGTTAATGTTACAGTCAAATAAATTTCAAATCAATTATCTCTGTATCACCTTCATGCACTGTAGGATCGCCAGTTGTGTTCTATCCCACATTTTACATGGTGAACATTTAAAAGAAAATTTCTGTTGTACAGTGCAATTTTGTATATTTGTTTATTATGAATAAATAAGTTTTGATATAACATTTTGAATATATTCTTGTTATTAATTTGAACAACCCAAACTTTATATCCTCAATATATGTTTCTTTAACTTAAGCTATGTACGTAAACTCCTTTATTTACAGCTTAAGCTATGTGAGTGCCTGCAGGTACATAGAAACACCTGATTTCCATGTTAAGGTGAGTGACCATCCAGCAGTTGTCTGTTGCACATCTTTACAACCCCAGTACCTTTTATGAGCAGATACTAATGGAAGAAACACAGCCGGGCTAGGGGAACCAGAAGTGAACATAAAGTTGAGTGATGCTTTTAGAGGCAGATATGCACTGCCTATAGGGGGTCCCTGTCCTGTCCTCTTCTTTATTGCACACAAAACGATAAGAGGAAAGAAAGTGAAAGGGTGAAGAACCTGCCACCGCCTCAGATAATGCATTTTATAATAATCATTTTACACACACTGTGCCTTCTAACTTCCAGTATTTAAAGTGAGTAAAGGAGAGAATTTGTTTTTGTTTGCTAATATTACACAGACTTCATAGCTGACCATCAGCTCTCACCTACTGTCCTGCAGAGAGATGAATCACAGCCGGCCTCAGGTGGAAAATACAGTAAGATATGAATATAGTGATGTTCGCTCCTCATCTTCGCTGCAGTGTAATCAATCCCAAACCCGATCCACTCCTCTTCTGTTGCTGAAGAGAAAGAGAAACTCCCCCATACAGAATAAAAATAAGCTTTTCTATGTTTGTTCTGCACAGTCATGCACCGCTCACGCAGTTAGAAAGATATGGTATGCAGGGGTTAAATACCTCTAAAGTGTTGCTTGATTTGTTACCCTTAAAACTCTAACCCTCAGCCGGCTCCCATCTAGGCCTTGATCCCTCCATGAGGAGGCCAGTGGGTCACGACGGGGTCGCCAGGCGGCCATGGCTTCCTCTGTCAGGCCCCCCTGCTCCATGTGGTACAAAACAACTGTCCCCATGTGTCCAGTTAAACTCGGCCCTATTGCCTGGCCATGGAATGCTTAGACATCAGTTTATGGCTCCTGTTGGACACAAAAACAGAGCTATTTTACTCAGGGAGGGAAAATTCTCTGTTGAATAAGAACAGAAAAAATGGAAAACAGCAGATTCAGTTCCTCTCAAGTTTCAAGCCTTCCTGCCATTGTTTTCTAAGATGGCTGTCGCACAAAAGAGGAGCCAGGGTCAACTCCTATAAATTAGGTTCTGCACACAATGCAAACTAAATACAGCTTTTTTTAAACCTACTTCAAAGGCGCGGGCCGACATCGCCGTCAGCTGACAAGATTTCCATGATGTGAGTGCAAATATAGAAAAAAAAGCTTCCATCTGATGATTTTTAAGAGCCAGATGTCTTTATTTTGTGTTTTCCTTGCCCTTGTCTCCCACCTCTTTTTAGATTAATTGTTCTTGTCACAACAATGGGGCACTCGAGTGCTCTCCAAATAAGGCCAGCTTGGAGAGGCTGCTTCCTGGGGCCAGGAACAACAGGGTTCTGGAGAAATTTGATCCTCGAGAGGCATCCTGGACAAACATGACTCAATATACAGTAGTTTTTCATTGAAGAAATTTTATGACTTGTAGTAATATATGAGAATTACTGATAATCAATTTAATGTGAATGAGAAAAAAATCGAAAGCATATTATTAATGTTTTTTCCTGTGACAATATCGCAGAGAAACAGCATGCAAAACAATTTAGTTACATATTTTATTCTTTATTGTAATATTGGTTACAATCCTTAAATCTGTGACTCCCATGTGTCAGATTTGTTTGATGCAGTTCACAGCATCCACTCTGTCTGGCCTGGGCCCGCAGGCTATTGGAAGTCCACTATCCACTCAGATGTACATCTTGGCCCAATCTCTTCCAGATCCTGCTGTTTTATGTCTCTTCAGCCAAGCTGCTAGATAGACCACTGAGACCCAGAGAATGAGAATGAAGGACAGAACCAGAGTGAGACTGAAGGGTAGGTTCTATCCCTCCAGAAGACCACCAAACGGACTTCCTCCACGCTCCTGTGTTATTTATGTGGAGAGAGCTCTGGCCTGTTTCTGCCCCAGGCAGCTCAGTGCTTTTAGTAGGGATCCTCTCAGCCTCCGTCAGCCAGCAAGATATCACAGGGTGGAAATAAATAAAAGTTCTCCTGGAAGAGTCAGAGCAGCCAGTTTTGAAATTAAAACAGGATTTTTTTTTTTTTTTTTTTTAGTGGGCTTGAATACCAGCACTGGAAAAAGGAAAAAGGCGGCCTCTCTGCACTGAGCTGAAGCAGCTACGAAGAGATTTCATTTTTATTTTTAGGAGGCTGTGCCTGCTAATCAGAGGCTGTTATTTAAAAACAACAATGGATCATGAGAAAAACGGTCTTGGGGATTTTAAAATGGCAAAGCAGTGGATGTTTGATTGACAGGATAGAGGACAGATGGTATGTTTGAGGGAAACTATGACAAGAATCTACTTGGATGGGGGGAGATGTGGGGCTAGTTTAGCTGATGATGATGATGGTATAGTGCTAAATGGAAAGGAAGATGGAAGGGTGTTGACTGGGCTTCTTGCTAATTGAGGTATTCCATTTAGAGCCAAGCTCTCAATTGTAAAAACAGTGGCACTCGCTATGTAACTCACACCTTCAAATAAATCCAGGAGGCATATTTGGAGTTACTTCCAGGGAGACCTGATACACCATGTGTCTGTGGCCATCTTTGGGGCCGGTGACGGTCCTGAGTTTGGCCAAGATAACATACATCAGCCATATTTTACAGTGACTATTTTGCTTGTCAGATTCAATTTGTCCCAATTCTTTTAACATGTATTGTCACAGATAGAAAGGAGGTGGGAAATACCACAGAGGAGCATGGGGAGTTTGGTGGGAAAAAAAAGGTCTTTCAGTGAAATGGAGGGAGCGTGTCTGTGGTTGGAACCACAGGGGTGACAGCCTGCATGGAGGCTGCCTGCTCTACCATCGGCCACCAGAAAGGTCAGCCCCCCTGAGTGGCATTTGGACTATGACAGAAGTGACCCAGAAACTGTGTCATCTCCTGTTCACAGCGAGGGTCCAGAGGAGGCCTGGTAACATCCGTGGTACAGGTACAGGCCAGCATGAAGATGGGCGGGGGTGAGGAGAACTGCAGGGTGGAATAGAGGTAGAGGAGGAAGAGACAGCAGAGACGTATGAGCACCATTGACATTCTAAAAGATTAGAAAAATACAGCTGCAGAGGTAGTCAGGGGGGGAAAAGGTTAGTTGCAAGAGGCTGGAGACAAAATCTGTTTCAGTCAAAACAAACCCTGGCTCACCCTTTCCCTTGTCCTTTATTAGTGAGCACGATGGCCCGATGAGAGCAGTCACAAGCTTGTTATTATGAAATAAGTGCACTTAGGAGGAGGTGGAGCTACTGTACATGGGTGGCGGTGGCCATGGAGACAAATGTAGCTATTATGTGATGCATGCAAGGGCATAGGTTTGGTCTCAACATCAGTAGGGACGCAACAACTCGCCACCCCTCCAAAACAAAGAGATTGGCTTTTTAATGCCGTCAACCAAACAGTTTATTGACATATAAGATCTGAATTTACATTCGGAAATGCCCATATGCAAATGTAGTATATGTACATGTGTTGAATTTCTATATATGAAATATATGTACATATGAAGTAAAATCATATATGTATTTGAAGTATAGCCATATATGTATAAAAAAAAAAAAAAAAAAAAAAATGAAACCTGATAGAAATTGGAACAAAATCATATACTGACATATATGTCTAGCTAATAGAAACGTGTATTTTACTATTAAGTAATTAAGTAATGAAAAGTCATAGTATATATTCAGTTGTCATTTCAGCACCGTGAAGAATCTGCGACCCCCCTTCTCCACCTCAACCATGGACGCCAGACAATCTCCAAACAAATCATCCCATCAAAACTTTCACTCATGGAGATGTCCCATCCTCGAGTTCCATTCCTCATCACCACCACCAGTGTCTGGACTCTGGGGGAACTTCGAGGGAATTTCAACGAATGGATCATTTCCATAAAGATCCACTTCCTACTGGAATGCCAAACTCTATTCCTTTCATTCACAATAAATTTTACTTTTCTCAAAAATCTCATGCTCCCTTGTTGCTTTTATTAGTCTCTCCTGATTGAAATGTCATAGTATAGTAAGGCATCCTATACTAAGGTATAAAAAGTCATACTATAGTAAAGCATGAAAAGTCATACTATGGTAATGTATGATATGTCAAAGTATAACGCATAAAAAACCATAGTATAGTAAATCATAAAGAAATCACAGTATACTAAGGTAAAAATGTCATAGTATAGTAGGGGATAAATAGGTCTTAGTATTTTAAGGCAAAAAAAGTCATAAAACATTGTACTGTGAGTGACAGATTGTGAGTCATACTAGTTAGGCCTAAAATGTCAAAGTAACGACATAGTGAAGCAAGACTTAAAAAGTCACAGTATAATAAGACATTAAAAGGCATAAAATTGTCATAATATAGTGAGACATGAAACATCCTGCAAATGTCATAGTATAGTGAAGCATAAAAAGTCTTGAAAACATCTTGGTGTGGTAAGGCATACAAAAGTAATAAAAACATCATAGTGTAATAAGGCGTAAAACCAACATGGTATAATAGTTGTAAAAAGTCATAAAAACACCATAGTATAGACAGGCATAAAAATTCATAGTATAATACGGCATAAGACCATCATAGTATGTTAAGGCATAAAAAGTGCATAAAAAGGTCATAGTATAGTAGGGCATAAATAGCAAGAATAATTCTTAGTACACCAAGGCAAAAAAAATCATAAGAACGTCATACTATGATAAGGCATAAAGACATCATAGTATAGTATGGCGTAAAATCGTCATAGTATAGTAAGGCATAAAAAGTCAGAAAAACATGATAGTATAGTGAGGTATAAAAAGTCATAGTAT